ATGGAACGGCAATTCGAGGATAGCGTTGGCTGTAATTTTGAACGCGCCAACCTTTCTGAGGTCAACCTCGATTGGAAGATGTTGGAAAAGGAGTTGGGAGTTGGGAGGTACTTGTATCGTCAGAGTCATGTAGAGTATGAAGGAGACGGGAAGAGGACATGGGCGGAGGTTGTCAAGGGGGAGAAAAGGGAAGAGGATGAGAGAAGATATAAGAAAAGGGGGATGGGGGTTGTGATGGGACGGGGGAGGGGGGTTTATTTTGTTTAATTCTTGCCGTGTTTGTGGTATCACGGTGTTCACATGCATGTTATCTTCTGGGGATATTGTAGTTGCATGTATCTAGCTCCAGACAACTTTGTTTCTTCTTTGTCACAAGTGCATGGATTTCAGGAGCCTGAAGCCTTCTTGTTGAAAGTTTTTACTGCCGAGTGGCGTCCATCCATGTCTTTGTCGCCGCCCCAATGGCACCGGCGTCGACGAGAAGTACGTGCCGTTGTACCTCGGCATCTTATGCTTGACGTTTTGAGCTGTTCAACCGAACTCTTGTCCCAGTGGTCCGGACATAGAATTGTGCTGTCACCATTCATCCATATTGCGAATTACCATGCCGGCTACAGATGGACTGCAATTTCATACGGAAGTCCCTGCCAAGAACGGCAGAATTAAGATTTTCCGCGTCGTCTCCGGCAAATTGGGTATATCGATCTCACATTAACCAGCTGCCAGAAGACTACCATATCCACTATCATCAGCAAGCAGCTTTACTTGTCCAAGGGACAATCTAACCGGGACATATCCGTCCTATTAGAAAAGCCTCCAACCTCCATCAATGCCGGCAGCCGCGTGGAACATGAACCTCGTGGCGTTACCCCGGGAGTGGAATCTGGGCAAGTGTTCCATGCTTGGGAATTGTCCGCCCCGGGTAAATCGCGCCAGTACTCCCATTCCTCCCGATTGGACCGTTGGAGGTGGCTCTTACAGCATGGCACAATCTCAAGTTTCCCATCCAAGACGATGTGGCATCCAGGCGGAAGAACGGAAGCAAACCAGGAGACCGAATTTGCAGCCCGATCATACTCTTATACCGCCCCCATCCTCCTCCATTCCACCAAGGACACTCGACTGTCCAACCTCCATCCCTCCTAAACACCGTCTTCCCAACTTCCCGTCAGAACCACCACCACCATGAAGTTCCTCTCCATTACCGCGGCCCTCCTGGCCACCCTCACCACCGCCCACCCCGTCTTCGACGACCTCATGGTCCCCTCCACCCCACTCGACTACAAACGTGCCCCCGCCGCCTCCCTCCGTCAAGTCTCTGACTTTGGCGCCAACACCTCCAAAGTCAAGATGTACATCTACGTCCCCGACAAGCTCGCCGCCTCCCCGCCCATCATCGTCGCCATCCACTACTGCACCGGCACCGCCCAAGGGTACTACAACAACTCGCCCTACGCCCGTCTCGCCGATCAAAAGGGTTTCATCGTCATCTATCCCGAGTCGCCCTACTCCGGCACCTGCTGGGACGTCTCGTCTCGCGCCACCTTGACGCACAACGGCGGGGGCAACAGCAACTCCATCGCCAACATGGTCGACTACGCCCTCAAACAATACAAAGGCGACCCCACCAAAGTCTTCGTAACCGGCTCTTCGTCTGGAGCAATGATGACCAACGTCATGGCCGCCACCTACCCCGCCCTTTTCGCCGCTGGCATCGTCTACTCCGGAACCCCAGCAGGCTGCTTCTACTCGCAATCAGGCGGCACCAACGCCTGGAACAACAGCTGCGCCAACGGCCAGGCGCGCGGCACCCCCCAGGTCTGGGCAAAGATGGTGCATGACATGTACCCTGATTACGAAGGGGAGAGGCCCAAGATGGAGATATACCATGGCAGCTCCGACAGCACGCTGAATGCGAATAATTATAATGAGACGATCAAGCAGTGGGCGGGCGTTTTCGGGTTCGATTACACGAAGCCCGATGCGACGGCGCAGAATACGCCCCAGAGCGGGTATACGACTTATACGTGGGGAGAGGGAAAGTTGGTGGGTATTTATGCGAGGGGGGTCGGGCATACGGTGCCGATTCGGGGGGCGGATGATTTGAAATACTTTGGGTTGTAAGCGAGGATCGAGGTAATGAGGGGGAGTGTAGGTTGGTATCGTGGAGAAGGAGGTATGGGCGTCGAGATGTGGTCAAGTATCTGGAGCCGGAGTGTAGGTTGGTATCGTGGAGAAGGAGGTATGGGCGTCGAGATGTGGTCGAGTATCTAGAGCCGGCGTCTAAGGAGAGCTCTTGGACTCTGGGTGAAAACTGTTATGAGAAGAGGAGAGTTAGCAAGTCCTCAAGGCAAAGCAAGCTCAACGAGAACTGGTTGCTGAAACGATCGGATGTTTGGAAGCGCCGGGTGCCACCGTGTTTTACAGTCCTGTCCGGACAGAGACTCAGTCGTGAAGTTGACCCATCCCTTGGTCTTGTGTCCTTTTCTTGCCCGCCGTAGAGCCCAATGAGTATTATCATAATATCTATCCCCTAATTCTTGCGCTTGGATCCTCGAGTATCTGCTATACCGTCTTACCGATGCAATTTGCTCCCTGTTCTCGTTGTTCTCGTTGCGAAGTCGTTTATAAGTGGAGTCCTTTCGTGCAGTCGAGGTACCCCATGGTCGTCGAGTGTCAACTGAGGATAGATTGGTCAAAGGTGAGGCTTGATGGCTCGTAATTATTCTAATTGGATTTGAGCGCGTCGCTTGTTCGATGTCCTCGGGATGGTGATCGGGATTCGAGGAAATTCCGAGATGGGTCTGTTTGAAGGGGAAATTAGCATGGTTCATGATGGAAACTGGAGGGGGGCATTGTCAACCAAAGTCCACCAAGGGGAATTGAGCCTCGGAGTGTCCGTTTCTTGTGGTTTTGTTTAGAATATCATTGACATAGCCGTCGTGATCAACGAGTGTCTCGGGAGTGTTTCCACAGTGCATATAGGCTCCCGAGGAGAATTGTCGGGCGGATAACCCAGACTTATATGCCTATCTCGGCAATGTTTTACAGGCTTTCGCAGTGAAAAGGAATGCAGAAGGGTGCAAGCGGGAAGGAGGTACGGTAGGCGGTACGGGAGGACCTTGTCGGCGGCCCAGGGCGTGCCAGGCGAGGCACCTTCCCGCCCTTCTTCCCGTGCCTCTTCCTGCAGGTACCAAGCTCACTTGCAAGCAAACCCACCCGCCATGGATCCGTGCCATATTATCCCACTTCCCCAAGCTTTCACCATGACCACCACACCACCACCACGAAACAAAAAAAAGAGAATGCGCAATCCAGGACTCAAACCTGGGTCCTCCACCAGTATCTGCTTAGTCATTTATGCCCCCAAATTCGGTCTTTGAAAATGGTTCGCCGGGGATTTCAACCCGCATTCTCACCGAGAGATGGTGGATGCGTTGACCACTACGCCAATCGCGGTTTTTTTGTTTCTTGTTAGGTGTTGTGCATAAAGATCTAATGCATATAGCTCCTATCAAAGTTTGGTCCGTGCCTTAAGCAATGCTTTCATCGGGCAAAGGAAGAAGCCTGCTGTTTAGGCGGGTGTACTGGGTGGCAGCTGACGACACGTGACGGTTTGTAGGGAGCGCCTGCTGAGGCTCCTTCCCAAAAAGTAAGAGAAAACTCCCAAATCACATCTTCCCTTCGAGTGTGCTCGCTGGCCAAGTGACGGCTCGGGCACTATTTCCCAGGGGACAGGGAGCGGAGCGAAGGGTGTGATAATGCCCAAGCGGCTTCTAACCGGCTTGCCCATCGCGCAAAGCTGGTGTCGGTGATCATAATTGGCATGATTGCCCTGGCTGTGAGGGAGCGTCGATGTGGCTTATAGGTGCTGAGGCTGTAGCACCAATCCATGCTTTCAAGTTGGATCTCGAATGGGGAACGAGTATAACAAAGGTTCTTTGTTCCTTGTTAATTCCCATTTTTTTCACTGCTTTCAAGGCTCTGCCCGCACAATCAACCGGACGTAATCTCCGTGGCTCGTAGTGTCTGATGTCTTGGACAGTTTTGTATGGTACAGGTACCTATACCCCCCTGGTGAGCCCGAGGAATAGCACGACTCCTGCCCCTGGCCTTGGTAGTTGGTACCTGGCGCATGTTTCGGTATCTCTGGGGTTTGGGCTAGGGCTGGTTTGTTTGACTTCGGATGAAGATTTCTGCTTGCCGGGACAACTTGTAACTGGCGAGGACTTGCGAGGCTCTAGGAGGTAGCAGGCTGCGGCGTCCGACCTCAACGCTTCCGCCATAAACGGATGTATAGGACATTGCCAAGTGGAAATCAGCCGTCAAGTTCCCCGGCCATCTAACGTACCCGATATCATGGCAAAGACATTAATGACTGTATTGATGGAAAATACCATGTTGTTGCAGTCCTCGGCCGCAAGCAAAAGCACGGAGTCCAGAAGTTCGCGTGGCATCCAGTGACGAATGGAGGCCTTGAACCGCGCCCTTGACGACTGGAAGAGCGTCCAGTTGACGCGCAACCATGCCTTTTCCAGAGGCAGCAACATAGGTAGTTCCCATGGATTCCGGAGCCCACCGTTTGGGCCGCCATGATGCTCCTGATCTTACACTATTCGGAGATTCGGGGCAAGCTTAGCGAGGAGGACAAGGGATTTTTCCACGTCCCCAAGAACTGGGAGGACCTCGACGATCATGGCCGGGACTTGGAATGCTACGTGATGGGAGACAAGCCTAGCAGGAGAAGAAAGATGGCGAAGAATCCGTACCGATGGATTTCAAGAACTCGAATGTTAAATGCAAGGTGTGTGCTGCAGACAAAACGATGGACGAGCGTGCCAAAGCCAAAGTGTGGCCCAAAAAGAGTGAGGATACCACGGAGCGCAAAACCCTCAGTTACCATCATGGTTTGACCGCTCTCAATCCCACAAAGCCACCTCACCCTTCGTGCCCTGGCTCGGCAGCGATACCTGTGGGCCGGGCATTTCAATTCCAACCACTCCAATATGATGTTACAAGGCCCGGAGTCAAGGGGTAGGTGAATGGAAGCATGCCCGCTCAGCACTTCCCTCGGACCATTCCAATCACCATTGCGCTCGGTCCACCCATCTTTGTCTTCTTGACTCTTGTCACGCAGGCCCAGCCGTTGTTCGAGGGAAATGTTGGCAAGGGCTAATTCCCTCAAAGACTCCGTGATGGAGACGACAGACGTATCGGTAGCATTTTGAAGTCTGCGTGGCGCTGGAAGAAAAAGATGATCGGAGTTCTGTCATTGCGCGTGTTCGGCTATGGCTTCCTTCAAGTGAACAAGAGAAAGACCGAAATTAACGCGATATTGTTGCGAGAAGCAAGGCCACCGGGTGGGATGTTGTTTTTGTGATTTGAAAAACTAAAGAAGAAGTTGAGCGAGATAGAGAGATTTCCAACCTGGCCCATTTGTTGTAAATCAACCGACGAAATGGGTGGTGGTTTGTAGTTGCAGCACTATGAAAGCGTGAAACCCAAGGCAAGCTGCAATGCTTTTGGTTGCTGACAGAAAAGGCCTTTCCTGCCAGTCGTTAAGAAGGGGTATATGTATTAGATCTTTGTCACACCTCTTCAACAAACAACCAACTGTGCGGTTGGCGCAGTGGTCAGCGCGTTCACCTCTAAAGCGGGCAAGGCAGTTCCAGACCTCAGAAGGTGAGAGGGGACCGGCTCCCTCTCATTGATCTAGGAACCCTGTGGTGGCTGCGAAAGGACCTGGGTTCGACTCCCAGACCACACATCTCTTTTTGCTTTTCTCCCTTTCTTCCTTTTCTTTTTTGTTGTTGGCTTTTTCTCCGGATGCTTCTTGTCGCCCCCTCGTTCGCAGTCACTACTCACTTGGTTCTGCGTCTCTGTAGAGGTATGGATGGTCGCCTTAGATGCAAAGCTAAGAGGATTATTAAACATTTCTCGTCGAAGACGTTGGCTGGCCGAGCTTCAAGTTACGCCTCCTAGGATGCTGTCATCTGCCAACGCTCTGGATGTTCCCTTGAAATAAAACATGCCAGAAACCTCAAAGTCGACGAAGTAATGGCCAAGCGACTTCACTCACAAACAGAGATGTAGATCAGGAAGTCTTGAGAGACAAGGAACAAGGAAACACCAAATGATTCTGAACAAAGTGATCCAAAAACCAAAGTCAAGAAGCTGAAGGAAATAACTGACAACCACATAACATTGTGAAGAGGTGACTGGAGGTCTATACCATAGTGCACGAGACAGTGGTATAGTGGAGAAACAAGCTCAGCAAGCCCAAGTGGAAGAGGCTGCTAGTGACAGAGGAAATGGAATTCTGACCACGCCCAACCAGAAGCATTTCCATGAACCCTACATCCAGATCCGAGCTTTCTCACTGTTCTTCTATACCATAGAAAGATGCGCATTCACCATTTGGCATTCCTTATTCCGCTTGCGTAGCGGCTCGAACTCGAAAACGGGGGCTGAATCAAAACAGCCGGTTCGTTAACGTTCTCTTAAGTGATCCATCCAAGGGCCACCACATCAACAGTAATACAGACTGCAATGCAGAAGTAATTACAGGCCACTGGCTGGCAAAAGAACATCACAGAAAAACACCAAAAAAATGACTGCGAGTCCAGGAGTCGAACCTGGGTCTTCCACATTCTCCTTACGTCCATTCCATCCCCCCAGAATTGGTCTTTGAAAACGGTTCGCCGGGGATTGCAACCCGGATGGTCTCCAGAAGGGTGGATGCGTTGACCGCTACGCCAACCGCGCTTTTTTGTTGAACCGAAGGCACGGAAGTCTGACCTATATGGCGGGGTGCTCCCTCGAGGACAGGGTACATACCTCTGCCCGTTGTTGAGGCCTGGCCGCCTGACTGTGTGGACGCCATACTCTTCGTTCCTTCCTCTTTTTACTACCAGACTAGTTACCCCGCCTCACGGTTTGGAAGATCAAAATCTGACAGGCAGCCGTGCCGTTACCCGGTCCCGGACTGGACCTCGCAGGCCGAGGCGGGTTGTAAGCCCCCCGCCGGGTTTCGAAATCCTTTTCTTCTTGCTTCCCGCCACAGCCTTCCTCTTCCTTTCCTCCTTGACTTCTTCCACCATCGTCATCAACGTGACTCCCCATTGCCCATTTACAACTTCAACCAACAAGCTTTACAAGAACAAGGTCCAAAGCAACTTCATCACGACCGCCACAATGTCTTTGACAGTAAGTCTCATTCCTTTCGGCAAGGCCTTGTCATCTTCCGCGTCTTCTTCAAAGCACCGCGAGAGGGAGACAATCTCAGATTGTGTTCATCGCTGTCCCCCACCTTGACCCCGTTCTCACCTCCATCACCTTCAGCTGAAGGCCAGTCCTGTGTCATTGCAAGAAGTTTCCCTTCACGAGGTATTTAGCTCCGTGAAGGACTCCCGCGTCGTTACCACCGTGGGTGATCCAGGATGGACGGTTTGCTGTCAATCCAGAGTGAACGCACCATGACTCCATCCGAGCATTTCAGCTGACAATCATGGCGACAGCAGCAGCAGCAGCAGCAGCAGCATCAAGCTCACCAGGAGCAAACCGAGCAGCATCACACCACCGGCACCGCCTGTCCCGGTCCGTTCCCTCATCCGGCGCAGCCCATTGCACCCACTACGGACACCGCGATCCACGCGGTGGTGACCACCCGGTTCCAGCACCAGACTTCCCGTGTCCCGGGTCCATTCCCGCTCCCGGCCCATGTGGTCATACGCCCGGCCTCCCGCCAAGTTTATGTGACCAGCACCCCAAAGCCACAGGGGCTGCCTCGCCCGTAAAGGGCACGAAGTGTGAGTGTCACTTTCCCTTCACTTATGTCGTTGGGTGGTGGATCTACCTCTCTTTCTTGCTTGAGAAGCAGCACAACCACAAGAAACAGAAGTCTGACACTTCCATGATACAGCCAGTCAAATTCCCCTGGCAGTACCTCTAGCCAGTCTTCTCACGAATCTCGCCCTCCTCAACGTTCTTCTTTAATGCTCCGTCCTCCACTCAAAGTCACCGGGCTGCCAGGCAGCATTAGGGTTTTCGCCACGATACATCATCTTGTGAAACGGTTTCACGAAAGGTTTGGTAACCGGGAGGTTCCTCCCTCTCCGGTGTTCCAGCAACACCTGGGACTCGCTGGTCGTCACCGACCCAACTACTAGTCAGGCAATTGGACCTCATCGACCGCCTCAAGAACACCCTCGAACTCAACCTCCCCCAGACCAGCGGAAAGAAGAGCAAGATCGTCCTCGGTGTCGTCGACAAGAGGGCTCGCTGGTGAGACCAGCAGAACCTTCCGCCGGTGTTCATTTCCGCCGGTGCGTGTTCCCGGGAACGTTGCCCCAGAGGCCAAACTCGCCAAAGCCAGCGCGGAGGAGAATGAGAGCCGCCGTCCGAGGCCGGCGATGACTTTCTTGTCAGCAGCCAATATCCTTCCTGCAACCTTCTCGGTGACAGCAGCATGATTGGCATGAGAAGCGGCTCTCCGGGACCCCAGCACCTCCTGGAGACTTTGAAGAACTTCGGCGTCGTGCAAGCGGTGCAAGTGGCCCTTTACCAGCTACGAAGCAACCAACTGGACAACACCTCCAGCCTCCACTAACAAAAACAATCTTTTAATGGTGTATGTCCTTGCTTGTGTCCACACAATGCCCTCTTCTGCCGTGGTTATAGTACGCGAATGCTGATTATTTGTTGTGATAGATGCCCGCGGGTATTGCCCGCCAATGAGAGCAGGAAGCAGGGGCACGGCCGGAGAAGCTTGACCATAAGCTGGAATAGATAGACGAGGGAGGCAGAGGAGGAGGTAGATAGATCCTAGAGATAGTGAAAACAGATAGTGTTGAAGCAGACTGTCGCCTTTGCATTTGATCTCCGCATGTGGGCGTTTACCTCGCACACTACCGGATGCATGTGACGCATAACTACAGGTATCCCACAGTTCTTCACATTTTGAACTTATTTTTTTCCTTTCACCCCCATTTCATCCACCGTATCTTCCTTCTTCCCTCTATTTTCCCACAGGAACCACGCTAGGTTCTAGGTTGTCTTCGAGGAGGTTAAAGTACATCAGTCATCTTCATCGTATTGCGTTCTACAATCTATAGAAGTGAATGCTGTTGTCACCGTCGAGTGTCTCTTTGAACCACGATGCGAGCGGAGATCTGGGTTTAAGTTTGAATAGAATCACGAAGCAGCAACTAACTCGAAGCTCCCTTCAGTCTCCCGGAGAACGGTGACACAAGCTCTCATACAAGCGATGTGAGAATGCTGACATGAGAAACTCAATTCCCCCAAGCACGCCCAGATCTCCAACTTTGAAGCCAGTCAAACTTTCAAAAACTCACCAAAGGGACAAATGGAAGAGAACGGGAAGAATGTAAAATGGGCAGCCGGGAGTGGCAAGGCGGGATGAGGGCAATGGCAGAGTGGAGGGGCCAGCGGACTGAAACTTGGATATAAGAACGAAGGGGAAGGCAGGAAGGAAGGAAGCACGAGGTACGGAGGTACTTCTGCTGACATGGCTGTGGCTCTGGCACTGGACATCTGGTCATCTGGTGAGTGGTGAGTGGTGACTGCTCTGGAAGGTCGTGGAAGCCTGGGCTGATATTCTGAAGCATCGGTCCCGTCGTCTGATCTTTTGGTTTTGCTCCTTCCCCATGCCCTGGCCTGACTGCTAGACAAGGTTCTTCTTTCCGTTTACGTTGTCGTCTTTTGATCGGCTAGCAGAGTCAGAAGGGGATGGACATCGAGATTCGTGGGGAAATGAAGGAAGAAGAAACGGGAAGAAAGACGGGGACAAAGATAGAAAAACCATGGGCACAGGATGTACTTGCATAGTTCCTGACTCTGGTCAATATGCCTCTGATAATGACCCAACGGTCTCTGATCGCTGATTATGAGGACAGCCAAGGTTTTGGGGCCTGGCAGTTTCGATTACGTTGTCTTTGTTTTCCTCTTCTTGCTTGATGCTTCTGTCTTTTGCGTTGCCTTTTCCCCCACTCGGATCAAGTCTTCCTTTCCACGCCTACTCCCAACTTCTGCTTTGCTTCTGTTACATGTATGTGGTAAAATTGTGCAGTCCTTCAGTTGGCAGTTGACAGACATGGAGAGGGCGGGCCAAATTGAGGTTCTGCTTGGGAAGGATGGAAGGAAGGAAGCGGAAAGTGCAAACCAGGAGGTACACGCGTTGTTGCTGGTTGAGGCTCTGACAGTCATGTACCTCTAGTGACGCATTTGGTGAAGCGCAATCTTGGGAGCGGAGAGCCTGACTTCGGTCCCATCGTGTGGTCTTTCGCTCTTTCCCTTCGTGTTCTATATATGCCTCTTGTTCCCTCACTGCCGTGGTCAATGATGCTCTGGCAAACGGGCAAGCCTTGGAGCTTGGCAGCCAGTGGGCAAATCTCGGTCCCGTCGTCTGATCTTTGGTTTTGTCGTACCTTCCAGCAGAAGGTTTTCCCTTCGTTCAATCTGCCAGCTTTCTTGCCGTCCTGCCACTGGCGGTCTCGCTTTCGTCCTGTCTTCGAGCTGTCTGGCAGTTGTCCAAATTTGCACTCGTGAGCTACCTGCCACTGGAGGGGTATAAAGGTCTCCCAAATCTTCAACGTCGGAGAAAACTTTCTCCTTCCATTTTTCTCCCGCACACAAACCACACTTCTGTCACTTGTCTCATCAAACGACAAGCCCAACTTCAAGTCTTCTCCACAACCAAGCGCGACCAAACCTATCATCAAAATGGAAGCAACCAACAACACGGGCAGCAACGCCAACGAGATCCTCAAGTTAGCAGCACTGATCCTGCTGGTTCTCGCCATCATCGCCATCATCATGTTGGCCCTCCACTTCCTGTGGAGACAAGAGAGAGATGCTGCATCTAGTGAGTCAACTTCTAATTTCTGCTGCTTAATTTACATCATTGCCTTGAGTCTTCCCGCACAACCAAACCACTTCACTTCTGTTTTGTCGCGGCTTTGTCACTTACCCTTCCCTCTCCTGCCGCAGATCCGCGGCGCTTCGGCAACCCAGACGTGGGACTCTTTTCGAGCCATGAGCTCAACCAAATGGGCGACGCGATCCTGCTCACCGAGATTCCCACAAGACCTCGGGCCGCGCGACGCGCGCCCAACACATTTTGACACTACCCGGTCTCAGCTAGAGGGGGGTTGTCGGGGGAGAGAGGGGCTGGGGGAAGAGGAAATTTTCCGCAGAGCGGTAGGGGGTGTTTGGGAGAAGGGGATGGGAAGTTTGGAGGAGTGGAGGGAGGAGGGAGAACAACTAAAGCGTGGTGTTTGGTGTTCGGGTTTCTTTTTGTTGTATTTTGCATCTTGAAGAGCTTGGTACTCCGTGGGGGTCATGCGACGGTCTGGCAAGATTCTGGACTTGTCGCTCCAGTCGGTGGCAGGACGATTTCTTCTTTTTCGAGTTTGTTCTCTTGCTTCTTCTACTTTCTAGAGTTAGTTCACCCCGTTCTCTTTGACAATACCAAATCTTCTCGCCATGCTCATTCTGATGTTCTGTGATATGACCCTCTTCATGATCTTTAAAGATATGTGCAGTCCGGGATTCGAACCCGGGGCCCTTCACTGTATCCCAAGAGCCACCAAGAGACCCGCGGTTTATTGCGAGGGTGCCACCTCCAGAACCCGAGTTTTTGGGAGTGAACGCGCTGACCACTGCGCCAACTGCACATTGGTTTTTGTTGGAAGGTGTGCACAAAGATCTGATACATATACCCCGGGAGAAGGAGCCCGGGCCCTGGTTGGCCGAGGTGAGTATCGTAGCCCT